TTTTTGGCAGGGGACTTTTTATCACTATCCATGACCGAGGACACATCACTACAATACTGAAGTCCTGGCCAGAAAGTGTCGTCAAGGTAAGTTCAGTTTAATTTGCGTGACGAAGCTAACACTGGTTTGGATTGATTCGATTGAGACCTTTTGATGAGCGCTTTTTTTTTCTTTTTTTTTACCAAATATATTATGCTGATTAGATGACATATTATTAATTGGATTTCAGTGATTTCTTAGCTTATTTTTTCATAGAAACAGTTTTGATGTAGCTACAATTCGAGGCTTTTAAACCTTTATTTGTTTTGCTATAGGCATCCTTTACTGTGTTACTGATTAACTGGCCAACTACTTTGAACATTATGTGTTCTAAAAAAAAATGATTATTTTTCTTGCCATTTGGATTAATAGTTCTCCATAAACTTTGCCTAATGAGCTCTCTCACAAAATATTACATTTGCAACTAAAGCTGCTTGTCACAGACTACGACAAAGAAATTATTGTATTGTCAGATGCTTCCCACACTGAGCCTCAAAGTTAAATGCCGGGTTGCTGACTAACATAATCTGGACAAGCAGTTGCGTTTGGGAAATAGTCATTGCTGTAAATAAGGATTTTCTTTTCCTGTTCTGTGTGTTTATCTTCTTGTCTGCATTACTCTCCAGCCTGTCAAGAGACGGTAATGTCACGTTGGACAGAACTTAACGGGAGGCTGGAGGGCTGCTGGGGGCTGGCACCGGCGGGGGGGCGGCAGCACAGCCTGGTGCCGGCAGCCCGCAGGGGGGCTCTGCTCAGCACGACCCACTGCCTTCCCGGGGCCCGCGCGCCCCCTTAATGCAGGGCCTCTCTTCTCCTCGGGCATTGAGCTGTGGAGGAGAACAGGAAGGGCCAAAGGAGAAAGGAAAGGAGATCGAGAGCGCAACATCCCCCTTTCTTTTTCCCTTCCACTGCTGAAGTGGAAAGGCCCATACAATATAGCTGGCAGTGTCGTTCTGGCACTGGGTGAAGACAGAGGAGCGTGCCGGCGGAGGCACGCTGTGGTCAGGTGGTGCAGAGCGGTACTGGGCTGTGTGCAGTTAAGCGCAAGACTAGTATCTTAGACGCCACAGCGGCTTCAGCGAGTAATAGCTGGGGTCGTTTGGCACCACATACACGCAGAGTACGGTATTAGTGATAGAAGTGTACCGATGCTGTGTAAGAATTATGAGTTTCGGACCTATCTTCATGAAAACAGTTTGAAGTCTGCAGGTCAAAATCAGAACGAGAGCTTTTACTGAAATTTTATTTCTTCCAGGATGTGATTTTGTTTTAGCCAATTTCAATTAATTAGGATTTCGAAGTTTAGAATTAATTGGGATTTAGAAATTGGGCATATGGCAGTTCTTTTTTAAAAAAAATCCATATCTAATCAGAAAGCACATGGAACTTTGAACTATATAAAGACTTAACTGTCCCTCAACAGTTCCACCGAGTCAGAAAAGAAAAAGTGCGTTCTGTGTACAATAAAAGTAGTTGTTGGCAGTAGCCATTGTGAATTTTTTTAACAGCTTCTCCTAGGCTATGGGGTTGATTTTCAGATTCGGACCATATGTCATCTTTATTGCATTTCAAGCATGTCGTACAATATTTCAGTCTGAGGAGACCTTTTCATGGAATTTGGCAACTTGTTATTAAGGAATGCAGGCGTTTCACCTGCTCCCTGCGTGTTGTCCAGGTCTTTGCTTTACTAGAGCAGATGTACTTCATGCTCGTACTACAAGAACGTTTTAGTAGTACTACATGCTTTGCTGGTAGTGGGAACGTTAAAACAAGGGTTTGACAATTTGGCCCAAGCTAGGGCAGTGGCTTTTTCTGCCCATTACTTAGAAAAATCTTTTTTAGTGCAGTTTTGTGGGTTTTACTGCGTTCTTACATTTCTGTCAAGGAAAACATATACTTCCTCATATGTATAAATGTGATGGAATCCTTATCTAGTGAAGTACGTTATTTGCTCAAAGGAAGAAGTACGTGTTTTAGAAGGGCAAGAACCAAGTGGCTGCAGACCGCCCTGTCAAAGGGCAGCAGTAATAGGGGCCTCTGGTTCTGTTGAAAACAGTTAGGACAAAACCCAGGAGCCCAGGGTTCTTCTTTGTTAGGCAGAAAGTAGGCAGCTTGCCTTTCCCTTCCTATTCTGTTTTGACGCTGTTGACAGCAAATGTAAGAGGGAACAGTGCCAGTTTTCTTGTAATGTAATACTAACTACCTCTCTTGTGTATTCTTAAAAGTTTTACATGGGGTTCCCATTAGCAGTGAAGCAAGAGTCTACAACAGAGAAACAAAAACACAGTAAAATATGATAAAGCAACTCAGGGCCTTTTTTCTATTATCAATTAATTTGTACCTCTTACAATTTTAAAATTGAATTTAATTTTTTAAAATTAAATTAAAATAAAGAAGGATGGTAAGAAGATAAAATGCATAGTACATATAAGTATCATCCTAGCAAAGAAGTGATTTTTATGGTGCTTGTATTTCTTTCTCCAGGCTATCGTGGTGACAGATGGAGAACGTATTCTGGGTCTTGGAGACCTTGGCTGTTATGGAATGGGCATCCCAGTTGGTAAACTGGCACTTTATACAGCATGCGGGGGAGTAAAACCTCATGAGTGTCTACCAGTGATGTTGGATGTGGGAACGGATAATGAGGTAAGTACTTTCTTGAGGTGTAGAGAATATTAGCTGTTTTAAGAAAACTGTCTATAAAAGTGAAATTGTTAAAATTTGCTTTTCTTTGTTATGATACTGTCTTTGATAATGTGGAGATAACTAAGTCTTTTTCAAAGCCTTACCCTAATATACAGTGTAGACATTCTCATCCTAATGTACGATGTAGACATGCTTTGGAAGGCTCAAATAGTTAAGGAAACTGTTGTCTGTGGAAAATATGCTGCATACATTTTAAATAGTAGAAGGTGGTAATGGATTTCAGGAGGAAAGGGGACATTATAGTTAAAAGCATAATTCAAGGCAGCATTCCTTTTCTACTTCTGCTGTAGAATTCTTCTGCAGTGATTTCAGATGTGATTTCTGTGTCTCATTTTTGAGGAACAGTTTGAAGCTGTAGCCTGATCTATGCTGGGAATGCACATCTATGTACTTCAGCTGTGTATTGACTTCAGCTGTAGAAAGCACTGTCGTGCTATGAATTTTCCCCAAATGAATTCCTAGTGCTTCAAGTAAGTAGACCTTACCCTGTATGACTTGGCTTCCCATTTGTGTGAAACAGAGAAAATTTAAAAAGAGCTAGCCAATGAAAAATGGCTTTTTTATTTCCAGGGCTCACGGGATTACTGGTTGAGAATGGTTTGGCCCCTATTCTTCTTCTTTTTTTTGCTGAAAGAAAAATTGAATTAGTGAGACTAAGTGATGTTACCCACAAACAAAATATCACGAGTAATATTATCATGATTTAATACAAGTAAACGAATGCTGACTAAAAATGGTACAAGCGTTAAAATTTGTGTGTGATACCAGATAAATGTATCAGAGCTAAATAATAATAAAAAAACCAAAGCTTAAAAAGTGAAGCACTTCTGTACCAGTAAATTTAGCTGGGACTTCTAGATTATTGGGCTGGGAGTGTGCATTTCCACCCCTGGCCCAGTGGGGTAATCTACACAGTGCATCATGAAAGTATTAATAAACTGAGAAATAGTCTGCCACCCTCTCTCTCTGTCCTCCCGAAATCCCCTTCTGAAAGTGGACAGGCTTACTTGTGAGACGTAGCTGAACACTGCAGCGCAGAGCACTCCCAGGTCACACACAAGCGTCAGCGGCTCTAGAATGTTTTTATTCCTCGTCTGTGCAGCTGGGCCACTTCATCTGTTGCTGAATGTTTCTACGCAGTTAATTGCACCAGGTACTTCTCATATGGTATTCTTTGATTTTTGCTTTTATGCCCTAGTTTCATTATCAATTTTATTTTTCACAGCGTATTGTTTTCTTTAAATATACCAAATGTATAGAAATACATACACCAAAAAAAAAAAAATCCATATACTAGTATCTCAACTTTTTATGTCGCTGCTCTTGTGAGTAAACAATGAGTTTAATGTATCTGACAGGGTGGCAAATCTAAACTATTGGCAAGATGCATAGAAAATCCTGCGAGCCTGGAGTTGTTGACGCTCTTAGACATTCACCTTCTTATAATTCGAATGCCTTTTGTTGTTTCACTTTTTGGTGTGGCTGCTTATTTTAGAACCGTGATATGAACAACTTCAGTTTACTCGTGCAGTGCTATTAGTGCTATTAGTGGCTCAGTGTGCTTTAGTGCCCAGCCAATATTGTGGTTAGCAGTTTAGGAAAGAACTGCTTCTGTTGGCCTGCTTTTCGTTCCTGGCCAGGTGTGTGTCGAGCTCAGATGTGCACATACAGCCCAACAGCCTAAAAGCCCCGGGTAAATTTACTGGTGCAAGAGAGCTTAAACGAAGCTTGAACAAGTAGGAGGCTGGGTAAAGAGGTTTTTTATTGGCTTGTTTGTTTTTCTAAGGTTATAGCAGACCCAAGAAACTATCACAGTAGAAGGATCGGAGCCATTTATGTTCTTCTAGGTTTTTACAGGGGTGAGGGGAAATCAAGAGCATGTGAGAAATCAAGGCTCTGAATCACAACTGGGTTGTGGTCTGCTCTAGAGACGGCACAGCTGGACTTTTAGGGTCGTGTTGAACTGCACTCAAACAAGTAGATGCTTCATTTGCTTTTTCCAGTGGGGACTGGGTCCTCCTACGTTTAAGTATTTACCATAGGAGAGCTGTAATTGGGAATGAGACCTCTGAATTGCGTTCTTAATGGGTTGGGCTCTATGGCTGTACCACTTGACTGGAGAGACTGCTGCGGGTCTGATAATATTCTGTGTTTATGTGGAGCTTGGGAGTAGTTCCCTGGCAGCTGCAGTCAGTCCAAGTCAGGGAAACCGGGGCACCAGTTCCCTTTTCTTGTCCCTTCTCCCACCCTTCCTCCTCCCCAGCAGCACGTTCCTGCTGCTGCCCTCACGCTGCTGTTTGTGCGACCAGGTGGTGAGCCACTTCAGGGAACTGGAACGGCCAAAAACTGGTCGCTTTTTTTGCTGGCAAAGCTGGTTTTATTAGGTCACGCTGCTGCGGAATTGCACTGCAATTCCTTATCCGAAAATCTAAACCTTTTTGACAAATGACTGTATTTTTATGCTATATTTTCTTATTCAGGCCAAGATTTTCCGTATTAAGACACAATAGAAATCATTCTCATAACTTGAACACATACAAATAATAATTTTGCTAAACATGTTTTTTGAAATGTGCAGATGTTTTCCATTTAGATTAGTTCCTTTTCCCTTTCTGTGGGGGCCTCAATGACTGCTTTAGAAGCAGTTTTAAAATATGTGTTTTGGCAGCTGTAATGCTGTTGCGCACAACCTGCAAATTCTCCAGAATGATTAAATCTCACTGTAAAGCAAATTGCAGGCAAAACTTCACAAATTCTCATCCTGTATTGTTTTGTTATGTTCAGGACCTGAAACAACAACTCTGAGCAGCTACTCACACAATTCCTGGCAATTATTAAATGCTTCGTTACTGTTAAGTTTTAGCAAAGGTGTTTTTAGTTGTGGTCTTGCTCATAAAGCCGAGGAATGAGTAGAGAAGCAAATAAAGCATTTTTATACAACTGTCTAGATAATAAGCAAGAGAAATGGAAATTGCTTACTTAGGAGTAAAAATTGACCTAGTGGAAAGACTTGCATGACTGAACTAGTAAATTACTCAATATAACTGAGGTAGGAAAGACTGTGTGTCCAAAAGGAGTGGTGCTGACCGCTTCCAAAAATAATAGCCTGTTTTGTAAGTCATAGACAAGTTGTAGGCAAGTAATCTTAACTGCTAGGGCATTTTTATCCAAAGCATTTAAAACATTGTATGGAGAATTACTAGGTAATTATATGGAGTATTTCAGATGAGGAAAATCTCAGTAAAAACTGGGGCTCACCCTGCAGCCATGTATTTGTTGGGTCTAGGGACAGGGCTTCCTCTCTAGTGGGATTTCAGTCCAAACAAAGTGTACTCATGGGCCATTCTCAGTAATGAGACAAAATTGTTGTTGGAAATGCTGAGGTGACACGAGTTCTGGATTCTGGAGGTTCATGTGCCATTAGAGAGCTATATGTTAATCTCCTTGCAATGGCTAAAGAAAGAGATTGCAGAAGAAAAAAGAATGGCTGCCAAGGTGCAAACAATTATTGATTAGTTTAATGTAATTAATTAATGTAGACCTACCTGAAACACATGTACTCAGTACTGTAAATTTTAAAATGAATATTTAATTAATAAAATCTTATTATAATATATATATATATATTTTTATTTAACATTTAAAACATTGTATGGAGAATTACTAGGTAATTATATGGAGTATTTCAGATGAGGAAAATCTCAGTAAAAACTGGGGCTCACCCTGCAGCCATGTATTTGTTGGGTCTAGGGACAGGGCTTCCTCTCTAGTGGGATTTCAGTCCAAACAAAGTGTACTCATGGGCCATTCTCAGTAATGAGACAAAATTGTTGTTGGAAATGCTGAGGTGACACGAGTTCTGGATTCTGGAGGTTCATGTGCCATTAGAGAGCTATATGTTAATCTCCTTGCAATGGCTAAAGAAAGAGATTGCAGAAGAAAAAAGAATGGCTGCCAAGGTGCAAACAATTATTGATTAGTTTAATGTAATTAATTAATGTAGACCTACCTGAAACACATGTACTCAGTACTGTAAATTTTAAAATGAATATTTAATTAATAAAATCTTATTATAATATATATATATATATTTTTATTTAAAATAATTCCTGGTTGTGGTTGCCTGACATAAAGCTTGGGTAAAGTATTGGAATGGCTGGTCGTCAAAAGGTTTGGCTAATCAAGAACTGAGGGTAAAATAACTATTACTGTTTAGCATGGGCTTATTAAAAACAGATTTAAATGAATTAAATGTTAAAAGGAGTTTACAAATTTTGGCTGACTTATTTTTAGCTTTAGTAGCACATCTGAATTCATACTATTCATTTTAAGAAACTGGACCCATGAAAAGATGAACTGGGCTTGTGTTAAATAGTAATAACACTATCCAAAATATGTATCTCTATGAGGAATAATAAAATAGTTGCAGTGTTATGGTATTTCAAATTTTTTTCAGCTCTGCCATGTTTAATACCTTTATTGACTTGGAGGCAATATTATTAGTGTCCCTGGGCTGTAGATGAAGCATGGTTAGGTTGAACATAATTACTCAGCCAAAGAATAATTACTCAGCCAGAATGAATTCTGGGAAGACTGACAGCTTCTGTTATGTAGAAGTCAAATCAGTGGTGAAAGAGTTTCTTTGGATTATAAAATCTTAATTTAACACACAATCTAAAATTAATCTAAATCTTCTCATGCTTAGCTGAGAAATCAAAAAGCTTTTTTCTTTTTTTGTGAGTGTCTTGCATAAAAAATGCTATAAAACTTATGCGCTCACTACAATCCTGAGCTCACTGGTCTGGTTGCATTTGTAATTTCAGGCAATAGCCGGTCGTGGAAGCTTTTCAAAGATTTATTGTGACCATTCACCATACACTTCAGTTTAGGTAGAAAGCATTAAGTATTTTAAGTAGTAGGAGGTCACTTTCTCACAACAC